CTTCCCTCTAGGGTCCCAACCCATGGGACTCTTTCAAGCAGACCCCTGAAGAGGCCAAGGTCTGCTCTCTTATGTTTACTTAATTAAACATAAAAGAATGCAACAGAGTATTTTAATTGTTATTTTCTTTCTGAAATTTTCCTGTGGATTAAGAAGTTAACATCCCAGCCCACCCAACAGTTTTGGTATTTAGTATTTGGTATCTTCTTTTTTCAAACAAAAGGTTAAATAGAAACTAAGAAAATGCACATTTTTGGCAGTGTGTCCAAGGTTGCACTGTGAGTTTATCAGAATTTTCAGATCCACAAACAAGTAATGGATGTTCTTTCCTCCCTTTGCTCTGTTTCTCTGTAATTCTTTTCTGGAGAGGCAAAGAAAAATCTTTTTCTGTCTCACTATAAGAAGTTCTGCTCACCTGTCTTTGTAGCAGAAGATTTCAAGGTTCACTTGTGTGCTTGAACTGACAATTTCTGTAACAACTCTGTGAGTCTGGGCAGGCCTTTAGCCCTAACATCACTGTACTGCTGCACCACTTCCTACTCATCTGTTAAAAAAACAGCCCCGGGGCAGTTTTGCTTCCTCCTCCATGTGTCTCTCCAAGTCTTGCACCAAGTTTGCTGCCTTGATTTATTTTTTTTTTACTATTTTATACCACTTGATTGAGGAGCTGTCTTCCTCTGCTCCAGGATTTCTTGACAACTTTTGTACACTTCTATCAAGCAGTCCAGACGCGGCTTGGAGCTCTAGAATTAAAGTCAAACAACAGAGAATGAGGCCCTGAACTGGCTGTAAAAGAGCTGGAAATCTTTAACTTCCCATTGGTGAGATTTGTCAGGCAAAGAAAGGAAATGTGGAGATAACTGACACAAAGGTGACTATCAGAAACAGACGTGTAGAAGGAATGCAGTACCAAGGTACGTAGGCATCTTTCCCACATTAAGTCAACGGAGAACATGTTTTGTTGAGAAAGAATTCAGAAAATTCCAGGTGGTGTTTGGTGCAAGCTAGTGATACAGGAATGCAAAGCCATTCCATAAGCTGTACCAGCTCTGTACAGCCAAAATGCCAGTCCCTAAAGCTGTCAGGTCAAAACACAAGCACCCCTCTGCAGTTAGCCTGAGTCACTCACCAAAACAGAAATCCTCCCTTCTCTGCTCACGGTGCACAGTGACAGCATGGAAGAAAATCCACACCTTCCAACCCATTAACCTATCTATTAGATCATACAGCCTCTAGAGACCTACCCTAATCCACCAGCCTAGATGACCTCCACATTGAAAAAACTGTTTTCAGGACAGGGAATTTAGACACCTGGCCCTTGGCCCCTGCTGGTACTGTCAACAAAAGTACAACAGACAGTTAACTGAAAACATCCACTCATTTCACACAAACAGCAAACAGTGGTCAAAGTATAATGATATTCCATCACTTCTAACCTGGACAAGATTAAAACTGGCAAGGAGGTGAAAGTTTCCCAGTCCCATAGTCTTTATGGTCCCATGACTTTCAAGCTCCCAAAACAGCATTACTGTGTAAAGTCCATCAAACACCTCTCCTTGCAAGTGTTGCTTAAGAGAACAATAGGTCAATTCAGCACAGAAAAGCTCCTGTGCTCAGTGACACAGTAAATTACATTTGTGAAGGCTGACACAACTTAGAGGAACCCAGTGAAGGAGACACAATAAATTTACTAATTATTGCTCCTTCAAAACTAAGTAACATACTGACTTGCATGCTAAAGCAAGAATTACTGACAGGTAATGAATTGCAAACTGACACAGCTCTTTCTGTACTTCCTTTGCTGTTGGGAGTCAACTCTACCAATACTAAGATATTTCCATGGAAACAAAACTGTTCAGAGTTGAGCTGGGGAAAGGGGAAGAAACTACACAACTGCTTTGCAGCCTCTTTGAAGCTGGAAAGCAGCATGTGTAACTAAAACCAGGTTCCTAAGTGCAGGTGGAACTTATCAGGTGTTTACTCCCAGCAAATCCTATTTTCTCCCTTGAATATGTGTGAAATACTTAATGTATATTGTTGCTAGTAAATGTCTTTACTATTGTGGGACTAAGTTAGCAGCAACTATCAGTGGAATAGTCTACTTATGCCTATAAGTACTTAGAAGACTGACTGTGTCCAGTCATAAAATGGATGTGGACTACAAAACAGCAATCACCAACAGGAGGTGAATTAGGAAGGACAGAGGGGGCTCTAAGCCTCAGCAATGGAAGATAAGAGGCACCTCTGCACTGCTTACCACCCCTCAAGGATCAGGGCATTGTTGTGTTAGGCATGTAAAGAAAGGCAGAAAGAAAATCTATTCCCAAAATGGGACTATGAACAGGTTAGCAAAAGAAGAGAAAGGGGAGACAGGGTAACAGTAAAGCAAACAAGTTATTATACATTAAGCAAATTGCTCACAGCTTGTACTGTGATCTTTGTCAATGGGTAAAGTCATTCTAATGCCAAGGAGGTTTTTATGAGCACTTTTGGCTCGGAGCTGAGAGAAAAATCAACTACAGCACAGTGCTGTAGTTATGACAGTAACACTGATCATGAGACTACACAGAAAGCTGTATGAATCCTCAGTATCCTACATGACCTAAAGACTTCTACTTTATGCAAGGTCCTGGTTGGGTTCAGATTTACACAGCTCCCTGTTCTTCAAATGGAGGGTAAATGAAAAAAAGACCCCTAGTATGTCATTCTGAGAGATGTCTAATACCACCTGTTCCACAGTGCTCTAAGACCCAACCTGAGGGGCCAGTAAGGGCCCGTAATAAGCTACTTGTAGTGGAATAAAGTTACACTCAGACAACAGGCACACACACACAGGCCACAGATCTGGATTTCTCCACCATTCAGTCAAACTCACCTGAAAGAGTGGCACAACCTCAGATACTCCCTGAGGATCTCCAGGGTCCTGGAGGAGGATGCACAGGTAGTAGATAACTTTTTGCTACAAGACAAAATCATCAGAGTTTGAAAATGCTATGAAAGTGCCAAGAGGATCTGTTTAAACTCACTGGGCTGAAGGCAAATCACTTGAGGCCACAGTCAAGTCTACAAATTTATACCTATAGTTTTCCTCCCTTCACACACAGAAAATTACCTGTGTTTTTTCCTATTAAATTTTCAACCTGAAAAGAACACACACATGCTGGAAGGGTAAGGTCTGCTTTTCTACAAGAGCTTTGCAGAAAACCCCAGAAACTGGACAAATAAGTTCCTGAGTTGTCTTCTTACCCCTGTCTTGACTTCTTACAGAGTTGGGCATCAGGATTTGTAATAACTGTACAACACAAAGAATGAACACCACTAGCTCAGTGTTAGTAGCATTATCTACAGGGTGGATTTGGCTTTCTGAGGTGATTTGTTTGCTTAAGTTCTCCTTTAAAGGTGAAAGAACAGACAAGAGAATCAAGAGAGAAATCTGAAACAAAGCTTGCGATGTCAGTGAATCTATGGATAGTGCTATGCTTAATTTCTCTGGTGAAAATACACTGGATGTGAGTGTACCCACAGACATACAAGCGGAAAGACTGTGTATAATTACCATATGGATGGCTTCATTGATAACCACATCCTTAACTCGACCCATCTCAATAAAAGTTGTGCTCTCTTTCC